CCGCTCTCCCTACACCCATAATTCTCTGTCGCCCTCCCTCTCTCGGCCCCCCCCCATCTCTCTCTCCCTTCCCCTCTGCTCCACCCATCTCTGCTCTCTCCCTCCGCTTCTCCTAACACCCATCTCTCTCTCCCTCCCTCTCCTACACCCATATCTCGTGTCCCTCCCTCTCCTCCTCCCATCCTCTGTCCCTGCCCTCTCCTCCACCCATCTGACCTCTATCCCTTCCCTTCTTCGTACACCATCCTCTCTCCCTCCCTCTCCTGCCACCCATCTCTGTCTCCCTCCCTCTCTAACCACCCATCTCTCTCTCCCTCCCTTTCTTCCTCGCTGACCAATCTTCTCTCCGCTCCCTCTCCTCCACCCTCTCTCTCCCTCCCTCTCTCCACCCATCTCTCTGCTTCCACTCCCTTCTCCCTCCCTCTCCGTCCACCATCTCTCTCTTCTCCCTCCCTTCTCCTCTACCATCTCTCTCTCCCTTCCCTCTCCTCCACCCCATCTGTCTCTGCTGCCCTCCCTTCTCCTACACCATCTCTCTCTCCTCCCTTCTCTTCCTCCACCCATTCTCTCTCTCCCTTCCCTCTCCACCAACCCATCTCCCTATCGTCTGCTCTCCCTCCTTTTTCCTTCCACCAATCTCTCTCCCTCCCTTCCCCCGGCCCGCTCCTTCTACCCATCTCTCTCTCCCTCTCCTTCTCTCCCACCATCTCTCTCTCCCTCCCTCTCTCCACCCATCTCTTCTATTCCCTCCCTTTCCTCCACCCATATCCTCTCCCTCCCTCTCCTCTTACCCATCTGTCTCACCTCCCTCTCCGCCACCAGTCTCTCTGTTCCCTCCCTCTGCTCCACCCATCTCTCCGCCCTTTCCTGCTGTCACCCAGCGAGACAGCGCCCCATACCTGCTCTAACCCTGGCACGTCGCGCCCTCTTCTGTCTGCTCTCATCTGCCGCCGCCTTGTGTAGCGCCACCTGTAGTCCTCTCTTGGCGGCGTCGTTGCCTCTATCGTGACGCAGCAGGTCCTCGCGGTCCGCGGCCGAGACATCTCCGCTCGTGAATACGCTGTTGCGCACCGCAAGTGCGCGCGGCCGACAGAGAGAGATGCGGTGAT